AGTCATACTTACATGGTTACTTGTGTAACGTGTGGTACATGTAAACGGCCAGGAATGTTTTAGTCATACTTACATGGTTACTTGTGTAACGTGTGGTATATGTAAACGGCTAAAAATGTTTAAGTCATACTTACATGGTTACTTGTGTAACGTGTGGTACATGTAAATGGCTCAGAATGTTCAGTCATACTCACATGGTTTCTTCACGGCTGTCGCCATCGCACTACCCACCAAGGTCACTAAACAGACCTGATAGTTAACTCCTTCGAATCAATTTTCACTTTCGATATCTCCCGTTTTCGGAAAACGAGACTTATTATAACTCAGTATACTACAGTTATTTACACTGTAATATACCTGACACGTAATGGCGCGGTAACTACTTCCGCACTTGACAATTTGGGGGCTCGTCCGGGATATATATGTGTTATTTATAAGTATTTAGACCATATTTTCAGAGGGTATAACTCTAAATTTGTGGCGATAACATTGGTTGTTAGTACTGCGTGTTGAAACAGTGCATTTTATAAATGTAAACAATAAGTTAATTGTTACAAACATAAATTAATATGCTGTGTAGATGTGCCAGTGCAGGATCACAATCATCATATCATGAAGGAAGTGTATTAAGAATGTACAACCATTACATATTGTGTATCAGAGTAGGTCGGGTCTTTTATTCATAGTCACTGTTATTCCATATATGTGTATAAAGGAGTGCTATAATAGAATATAGACTGTTATTATGTACGACATGTTAGTTTGCTTGTTACATTCAACTTCATACTGTATCGCGGGATACATTTTGGAAAAAATACTATTTTTTTTCTTTCAATAATTGAAACTTGTGAAGTCCATTCTGATCGTTTGTCCCAGGTTCTGGAGTTCGTGCAAGTCTACGTATTGACGTAATGTAAAATGTATAGTCCGGCATTGAAGGACCATCATACATCATGATGGTGTACGCTGATAGTTCAATACAGCCAAATTATGTAGAAACACAACACAAAACCATTTTTTAAATGTCATATTTAAATATTGTTTATGAATTCAAAAGATATCAAATTTTCTGGTGCGTCATTGCGGAAGAATAATGTTTAGACGCGGTGCACAGGCTCAGCTGCGAGTCTACGGCAGCCATCTTATTACCAGTGCGAAGTCGAGGGCCGCTACATTTCGAGGATTTACATCTTTTAGAATGTGAAGCTGCAATAATTGAATGTCGAATTAGACAGGAAACCAGACGTCACTTGAAAGGAAGAAACATGTAATATGGTATTTGACTGTTCGACTGTATTTCGTACAAGACGGGACCACATGGATCTACCACAGGGGTTCGTTAAAAATGTCTGAAATACACATATGCTTTTACTGATTTTGGTCACAGCACACATAAACAAACATTTATACATTTATATGTGCTGTGACCCCTATCAGTTATAGCATGATATGTGTATTTCAGACATTTGTTATCGAACCCCTGTGGATCTACGTTGTTTTAGATGTGTACCGGGGGTTGATAGAACGGGTAGCTGGAGGTAGAATTTTCAGGGCAGCACATGACTTATCACTACCGCTAGCAGCCGTGAGCTGATAATAGTTTGCTAATTGATCGTTTTTGGTTGTTTGAACAAGTTATTATGTAGCTTCAATACAAATGTTAAATATCATCAAGTGAAACATCCTCTTTGTTTAAACATGTCAATAGTTATCTCCCTTCGCAAAATCATACGCACAGGCAATGTTAATCTGGTCAAATTCATCGGCAAATGAAACGGGCTACATTTGGTAGTTGCATTGAGTCCAACTTGAGTAGGAATTGAAATATTTCTCAATAACTAGATTGTAGAACGTGACCCAGTTCACCGCGTATGAATATATGCACATATTGGCAGACTTCTTTCCGCAAAATTCGTGTCAATGTTTACAAACAAACACTACCTAGCATCACTTTCAAACGATGGACGTCCGCGGTCATTAGTATTTTCTACTAAGTATTTTGCCCCAGTACCTCAGTTTTATACAAATATAAAATTATTTATTCCATTGCCTACTAATACAATTATGAAGATATTGTATGAAGTAAAATATGGATGTTTTATGTGAATGAAAATATTGAAATGGAGGAACTGTTTTCTTTTGTTGCCACGGAAAGTGGGCGGGGTTTAGATGTCTGTCAACGGCTTTTTTCGCATGGATTAACATGACGTCAACATATTTTTTAACGCAGATTACACAAGGTAAATGCTTGTGTCCGACTCTTTTAATAGTATTAATGTTGAAAGAAAATATTGTAAATATAAGAATTAACCTTTTATTGTGTGTGATAATAAATCCAATGGAGCAGTCGGTAAATTGTTCGTAAACGAAATAAAAGGTTAATCCTTAAATACAGTAAATATGTAATCTGTGACACTATACATAACATAATTGACTAATTGACAGCAGGTATGGACGTCTAATTTACCACACTATTTATAACATACAAAGGTAATTGGCTAATTGATAACCAATATGTAAGTGTAATCTGTGACACTATATATAACATAATTGGCTAATTGGCAGCAGGTATGGACGTCTAATTTACCACACTATATATAACATACAAATGTCATTGGCTAATTGATAACCAATATGTAAGTGTAATCAGTGACACTATACATAACATAATTGACTAATTGACATCAGGTATGGACGTCTAATTTACCACACTATATATAACATACAAATGTCATTGGCTAATTGATAACCAATATGTAAGTGTAATCTGTGACACTATATATAACATAATTGGCTAATTGGCAGCAGGTATGGACGTCTAATTTACCACACTATTTATAACATACAAAGGTAATTGGCTAATTGATAACCAATATGTAAGTGTAATCTGTGACACTATATATAACATAATTGGATAATTGACAGCAGGTATGGACGTCTTATTTGCCACACTATATATATAACGCAGATTACACAAGGTAAATGCTTGTGTCCGACTCTTTTAATAGTATTAATGTTGAAAGAAAATATTGTAAATATAAGAATTAACCTTTTATTGTGTGTGATAATAAATCCAATGGAGCAGTCGGTAAATTGTTCGTAAACGAAATAAAAGGTTAATCATTAAATACAGTAAATATGTAATCTGTGACACTATACATAACATAATTGACTAATTGACATCAGGTATGGACGTCTAATTTACCACACTATATATAACATACATATGTAATTGGCTAATTGATAACCAATATGTAAGTGTAATCTGTGACACTATATATAACATAATTGGCTAATTGGCAGCAGGTATGGACGTCTAATTTACCACACTATATATAACAAACAAATGTAATTGGCTAATTGATAACCAATATGTAAGTGTAATCTGTGACACTATACATAACATAATTGACTAATTGACATCAGGTATGGACGTCTAATTTACCACACTATATATAACATACATATGTAATTGGCTAATTGATAACCAATATGTAAGTGTAATCTGTGACACTATACATAACATAATTGACTAATTGACATCAGGTATGGACGTCTAATTTACCACACTATATATAACATACAAATGTCATTGGCTAATTGATAACCAATATGTAAGTGTAATCAGTGACACTATACATAACATAATTGACTAATTGACATCAGGTATGGACGTCTAATTTACCACACTATATATAACATACAAATGTCATTGGCTAATTGATAACCAATATGTAAGTGTAATCTGTGACACTATATATAACATAATTGGCTAATTGGCAGCAGGTATGGACGTCTAATTTACCACACTATATATAACATACAAATGTAATTGGCTAATTCATAACCAATATGTAAGTGTAATCTGCGACACCATATATCATAAAATCACAATGGCATATTCTACCTTATTCCGATCAGTTCACTAACTTTATCGCCTCTTATAGGTGAAATGGTGAAAAATAACATATAATGATGCGACAAACAAGAGGCACACGGACCACCCATTTTAATGGCTGTATTAGAAAGAGAAACTTGTTTTCGTTTTATCCATCAAATATTTAAAATAGTGTAATAATCCCTTTTTCAGGAATGTATATCAGAAATAAAGATTAATACAGAAATATTTTGATTTCTCAGAGGTGTACAATCGTCATTCCTATGGAATTAAACCTGTCATCCAATTAGCTAATTATATAATCATGTTACAGGGTGAGTTCTCCTGACTTCGTTTTGTTCCAAGCACATTATGGTATACACAAAACACCTGAAAGTTAAGAACAACAACGACATTTACCTTTCATACAAATACACTGTAGATCTATATGAATTAAGGGAAATAACTCTTACAATACTTTTATGATAATTAACTATAAAGTGCAAATTACATAATTTAGGAAAAATGTACAATAAAAGTTATTTTACTTTTTGTATCGGTATGAATTTCTAGATAGCTTTATCCAACTAGAATACATACAAACTAGCTCATTTCAATATAAATATGTTATACAAACTTTTAGAAATAAATGCATAGTATTTTTTATATACATATAGAAAGTATATTTAACAGATAATTTGAAACAGTAACTACTTATTTAGAAATAAGCTAGAGTGTTTAGATAAAAACATGTCTAGCAAATAAACACTTACTCTACAGCTATGGTGTAGACGTTCCGGATATATGTGTACATGTAATGTAAAACCATTGCAGCACGTAAATCTTTCTCAAACTCTAGAAGTGCCCAGGTAAGATTGCCAGGTACCCAGGTATGAAATGTCAAAGGTCATATCCTAAGACAAGTCATTGGTCAGTCTACAGTCATGTGTCAAAACATGCATACTTAATTACTAATACGTATTACAACACACAAAAATACGACGTGTATGTATATTAAGGTGGCCTGACTCATAAAATATAATAGAATTTGAAACAATAACATTTATCCTAATTTCACTTTATACCAACAGAATATTCCAATAGTACTAAGTAATATATACTTATACATAAATTCTACCCTGTAACAATGACATTTATCCTAATTTCCCTTTATACCAACAGAATATATTCCAATATTACTAAGTAATATATATTTATATATAAATTCTACCCTGTAACAATAACATTTATCCTAATTCCACTTTATACCAACAGAATATATTCCAATATTACTAAGTAATATATACTTATACATAAATTCTACCCTGTAACAATCATTCACTTCTTCATTATCGACAAATTCAACCTTCGGCGAGGTGTGGCTTTTTAAGTCCAGCCAGTTTGACTTCTATAACAAGTAAATCATTGTACGGAAACCGTCGATAAAACAGAGTGTAGAATGCTTAACTATGCGTGGATATCTCT